AAAGAAAATATACCAAAACACTACTGGTAGATATTGCCAGATCTTAGGATTATATTTTGCTTATATTTTTCAAACTTCCTATAGAGGATATATTCTACTATTATAATCACAAAAAGCAAGTATTCTCAAAAATAATGGCGAGCTGGGCATGATGGCACACACCTGTAATATCAGCATTTGGAAGGCTGAGGCAGGAGGCTTGCTGTGAATTCGAGGCCAGCATGTGTTACATAGTGAGTTCAAGGCCAGCCTGAACTATGCAATGAAACCCTGTCTCAAAAAGCCAAACCAAATCAAACAGAACAAAAATAATGGCAATAATAACATTTGCATGTTTTTGCTGACAAAGACTTTCATCTGGTAACTCAAGCCACCTGCATTACAATGCTCTGAGGCAAGATGACTATTTCCATGAATTCTCAGGATGAGTAATAACCAAGTAAGCCAAAGGCAGCCATGGTTGGTGAAGCTTATTAAACAGTTCATGCATAGACAGTTGTTTTGGGAAGTCCCACACTTACCGTAAGTATGGGACTGGTGCCCACTCATAATTGAGGTGGCTGCACCTTCCTCCAACTGCTGAACTTTTTCTGACAAAATGAGGTTTTCCTCCAGCACTCTGACCAGTTTTTGCTTTAAACTTTCCTTTAGATCAGAAAACAAAACATCAGTACATTAAGAATCTGAAATCCTGAAAAGTACATGTGTAGGATGAAGGAACTTTTCCTCTCTAGGTGGTGATAAACTGAATGAAGGTCAAATCTGTGTGATGTTCTCACTAGACTTTTACTTTTTTTTGGTACCCAGGATCAAACTCAGGACTTTGTGCTTACGAGGCAGGCGAGGCACCACTGAGCTAAATCCCCCACCCCTCACCAGACTTTTAATTCATTGGTAAAACTACTCAAGTGCAGCAGACAAATTTATCACATGAAGTCATGATCTTTCCTATGGGTTATTCATGTGCTGAGCATATGCAATCATCTACAGTATCTAGTTTCTAGAACTCGGTGTTTGAAAATCCTCTAGTGTTAACCAAAGAGAGAAAAGCCCGGGACTGAGCTCCTTCTTTCTCTCCCAGAGCCAGAAGCCTGATGCTCTAGCATGGCCCTGCTTCTGTGCTCTCAACACCATCAGAAAGGAGGAAGATGAACGGAGGTAGAGACACTTGCTTTCCCTCATTAGGGCCACGCCATAACCACACCCTAACACCTAAGAACATGACCCTAAATATTTTCACTCTAGGACTGTTTTTTTTCCTTCTTCTTCCTCTTCTTTCTTCTTCTTCTCCTTCTCCTTCTTCCCATCCCTTCCCCCAGCCCCTCCCCTTCCCCTTCCTCTTTCTCTTCTTCTTTCCATTTCATATCTTTCTTTAGAATTTTTAGATTAGGACTAGGATGAGGGAACCATCTCTGCAGAAACTCCAAACTATCCTTGTTCTGGAAAGTTCTGTGTTCTTGATTTGTCCAGCCTGACTTTTCCATATTTTGGCTCCGGAGTGTCTTAGGGGCCAGAGCTGTCTTAGTCTGGCTTCTCTGTCTCTTTCTAGTACAGGAGGAAGAATAAGAAAAAGGAGGAAGCCATACCATGTCATTAGGGATGGGCTGCTCAGCCTCCTTCAGGTCACTCTCCCTCCTGTGGAAAGTTTTTGGAGTGTCTTCAGGATGTGGGCGACATCGCTGCTGCAGAGGAGCAGGGACAACCAAAGACAGAAGCAAATCTTGTGCAGGACCTGCCAAAAATTCGGGTTGGGCACATGGGCCAATTTTAAACCCTAAAACACAGACTTCCTAGTCAGTAACTACCAGCTAATTATCTCCTTATTAAGTGGGTATAAGAAACACTTATGAGGGATGAGAAATTATATCCCACATCCTCTGTAGAAGAACAGCAGCAGCCCCCCTGAGTATGTTAGTCTTGAGTCACTGTTTAGTGGCTTCAGGGGCTAATTTCCTACAGGATGGGAGCAATAGGTGAACGTGGGAAGGAAGATAACTGGGCTGTAATATCATCTCCTCTTTGTCCCTTTAGTGTTTTTTGTTTTGCTTTGTTTGTTTTTGGTGCTAGGGATTGAATTTAAGGTCTCTCCTGTGTTAGGAAAGCACTCAGACCTTACAGATTTTTTTACAAAAATTTTTTCCAGTTCAAACAAGTTTCTAGTTTTTACTTAAACTTTTACTAACAAGTAAAAGTTCATTAAATTCTTCTTCCATTAAAAATAAATAAACACATGGAACTGACTTTTGAAAAACTGCTTTTCCCCATGTTTCTAAAAAGTGCTCCCTAAGGAGTCCAGGTGATGCATTTATTTGAGTTTTTCAAATCATAACATTTCAAGGGTCATCTCAGAACTCTGATGGTCAAACCTAGTATCTGTTGCATTCATTACTGACACTTTCCCAAGGATCATAAAATCTTTTTGTAATTATCAGCAGGACTTTATCAGATTCTATATTACATGTGTGATCACTCTATATCTTACCAAAGACTACACACACACAGGCAAATCACAGGAAGGAAGAAAAAAATTTGTACAAAAATAGGGAAGACAAATGTGAGATACATGCAGATTTGTTCACTATGGTGTTTCTGAGAAGTTTTTGGTAAGTGATAGGAAAACAACTTTCCTTGCAAGTTAAGGGGACTATGTGGCTGTTAGAGTACAGAGCTGAAGCAAGGTCAGGCTCTCTTCCAGGAACTGAGAATGTGCCCACTCACCGAGGAACTTCTTGTTGAGGAGCAGGGAGCCAGAGTCACTCCAGTGCTTATCCACAAGCTCCAGGAGCTGTCTGAGGACAGTGGCCACATGGGGGGTTCTGGCAGAGATCGGGGGACTGTGGTTTCCTGGCAAACCATGCAAACTGCCCAGGTCACTACAGAGAGGCTCAAGAAAAAAAAAAACAACCCAACCATTTGTCATTCTTACACAATAAGGGACATAAGAATCCAGACATTTAAAGCATTCATATTTTTTTAAAAAGAAAAAGGAAAGATTTTATTTTTCAGTTTGGATGTGAAAAGCATGTTATTTATGCCCAAGGCAAACATGTAAGATATTCAAGGATAATTTCAAAGGTATCTTCTACCATGATTTTTTGCAGGGATTTTTTTGTTTTTCATTTATTTTTATTTTTTGGTACTAGGGATCGAACTCAGGACCTTGCGCTTGTGAGGCAGGCGGTGGCAACAATGAGCTAAATCCTGGGCCCCTGCAGGGATCTTAATACATTAAAAAACTGTGCTGTTTGACACTGTATCTATGGTTCAATATATTACATAATATAGAAAGATTAAACTGCAGAATATTTAAAAAATACTATATGTCATAAAGTAAAATTGAAAGTAATTTAATAAAAAAATTATAGCTCATAATAAGCTTCTATTATATTAATATATAACATTCTAAATGTAATGCTAAATGTTATTGTTGGACTCAGTACTAAATTTATTATTTAGGAAGAATCATATTTTGTGTACATATAGATAAGCTATAGATAGATCTATATAGTAAAGTTAGCAATTGCTTTTATTCATTCTGACCTGACATTTACATAATTGTGAATTTTATTATACAAATCTACCAATCTTTTCCATAGAGTCTCTTACACTTCAAGAGAGATGATATAAATTAAAAACAACCAAATTATTTCTGAATCTCTAGTCCTTTTGATGAAAAAATTGTGAAAAATTAATTAGCTAATTAAACAACACCAAAGACAATGACATTTATGATTTGAGTTACATAGGTAGCCTCTGATTGTAGGGAAAAGCCTTACAAATGGGATAAAAATTTATTCAATAGATTTGCACTGAGCATTGGTCATGTGTCTTGAATACTGAGTATGGAGTAAACATATGAGGAGGTAAATGATAGGGTCCTTTAAGCAGTTAACAACCTATGGGCATGGTGGTGCAGGCCTGTAATCCAGCACTCTGGACGCCTGAAGCAAGTGGATCACAAGTTAAGCCCTGCCTGGGCAACATAGAGACTTAGTGATATACTCTGATATTCTGAGAAAGAAAGAAAGAAGGAAAGGAAGGAAGGAAGGAAGGAAAGAAAGAAAGAAAGAAAGAAAGAGAGAAAGAAAGGTAGAGAGAGAAATCAAGCCAGCCAGCTTAGAGATAAGGATCAGGGCAAAGTTCTGGGTCTAATCCATAGTACCACAAAAAGTTAACATCTGATTGGGGAGGAAAATCATAGGAAGTCTGGTCATATCACAATGTGACTTTATAGGAACTTGTCAAAAATGAGTATTTACTGTCATGAGTTTTTTGTGGGTTGTAATTTTGTGTGAATGTCATGGAGAAACTTGGAAACATATGAAGCTGGGGATAATTTCTATGAATTTTGAGATAATTTTGTTCTTTTTCATAGGTCTTAATTTTCAGCAAATTATGGTTTATGGTTTTTGGGAAGATTATATGTACATTCTTCTAAAAAAATCTAAAATATAATTTAATTTTGATCAACTAACTTCATAGGTATATTTGTAATTTGTGTCTTGGAAGTTCGTTGGTCAAAATTAAATCTTTTTTTGTTGTTTTTTGAGACAGGGTCTCACTATGTGGTTCAGGCTGGCCTTGAACTCACTATGCAGCCCAGGTTGGCCTCAAACTTGTGGGGATCCTCCTGCCTCAGCCTTCTGAGTGCTGGGATTACAGGCATGCACCACCACTCCTGGCCAAAAATTAAATTTTTGGACCGGAGATTTAGCTCAGTGATTCCACTGCCTGCCTTGCAAGCACAATGACCTGAGTTTGATCCCTGGTACAAAAAAAAAAAATTAAATTTTTAAGTTTTTTTTTTTCCGGTACCGGGGATTGAACTCAGGACCTTGTGCTTGTGAGGCAGGCGCCGGAACCACTGAGCTAAATCCCCAGCCCAAAAATTAAATTTTTAAATCACAAATTCATGTATGGTCTAACTTTGTGCATCATAGGATTTTAAAATAATTTTTCAGTTTTTTTTTCCAGTACCAAAGATCTAGCTCAGGACCTTGCACTTGCAAGGTAGATGCAGTGCCACTGAGCTAAATCTCTCGCCCTAATTTTTCAAATTTTAATCCTCTTTTTAGAAAAATTTTGATGTATCTTTCAGAGATTAGTATGTTTCCTTTATATTTATATTTAGGATTTGGAGGTATAACTCAGTGGAATAATGTATGCCTACTATTCACAAGGCCCTGGGTCCCATACTTAATACCAAAAAAATTTTATATTTTATTCAAATAGCTCTTTCAAAGCTTTCCCTATAAAGAAAATAATATATAACAGGAAGAAAAAAATAGGAGTTAAGATACTCCAGAAAAGTGCATTGAGATTTTAACAATATAACATAATACAGAGGTTAAAATTTCTTAGAATATCTTAGTAGTATGACCTCCTAAATATTCTAAATGTTACTGTTAATACATTAACCCACAGTTAGTGTTTTTGTCTGATAAAACTGGCATTCATGGTTGCGAATGGACCAAAGGGTAAAAATATTACAAGACTGCCCCCTTTGGTGCACAAAAATTATAACCACTTTCTCCAAAGTTCTGAAAACTAAATAGGAAATATTTAAAGAGTTAAAAGCAAAAAACAAAACAACAAAAATCCAACCAAATAGCTCCCCAGAAAATAACCCCCAATAATAACAACAAAACAACTGGAAACTTATCCCAAATGTGCAAAAAGATTTCCAACACCTAAAAACATAAGTGACAAAAAATAACTCTTTTTGACTAAAATATCTTGCTTCCTTATAGGGCAATGGTGGTGAACCTATGGCATGTGTGTCAAAGTGGGCTGTTTGTATCACTAAAAGGTCTAAAAGGTTCTCCATCACTGTTATAGGGCAATAAGTGATCAACTGATAAATGATTCATATAACAAAGGATCATGGGCCCAGATGAAGAGGGTGCCCTGAGAGCTGTGGTTCCTCTAACTAAGGAGAAGGCTTCATGATAGTAGTAAGACCTAGGGAAAAGTTGACAAACAAGAGAAGTAGAAGACATTCTCTGCAAGAAATGTATGCAAAAGCAGGGGCAAAACACATGAGTAAGAACTGATTAATACTGAAGTTCTATTGTGTAAAAGCCATCACACTATGATTTTGTACAAATGAGATATTTTGTATATGTGGGAATCGTTCTTGAATTTTCCATTTATCCTCTGAGCCACTTTCAGCTCAAAATTCCTTAGAAAATCTAATTCATCTGCTTGGTGCTACTCTAGAAAAAAAACTAGAAGCATTTGAATTTCTAAACAAAAAAGTATCTGCTTGCTGCTACTCTAGAAAACAAATTAGACACATTTGAATTTCTAGACAGAAAAGTAAAGCAATGCTTTTACAAGAGCTATTTTAGGTAAGTTATTTGTGGCTGAAAAAACAGTAAACATGATGAGATTCTAAACGTTGATGCTAAAGAGATTAATCTTCAGCCAACTCTGAGCTGCCTGCAATTTTTGTGTTCCTTCCTGATGGTAAACTCTTGTGGACCACTTCTTATCAATGTACTTTCCCACCATGTTTATCCTCTGGAAATAGAACAGTAACAGTCCCCCTGTGATAGAAATGAGAAAGTGGTGGCAGTGAGAAAATGGCTTTCCCAAGGGCAGGAGAATCACAGGCTTTAGCCTGGTAGTATCAGCCACTGGCCTCTGAAAATCCCTTTGAACCTCCACCAACCTCAATAAAACCCCATTCCAGTCTTGAACCTCATGTGTTTCTTGCACACACACAAACACGCCAAGACTTGCCTCGCTGCCTATACCATCTCGGAAACCGTGCTTTAGATTCAGATTGGCAAGGATATTGTCCTTCCGCTTGAATCCTCTCCTCGATGGGCTTAATGACCTCTTGGTCAGAATCTCTCTGTCTTCTGAAGTCCCAGGAGGCAACCGCAATGTCTGAAGAGAGTTTCCCAGGACAGAGTTGTTTGGTAAAGAACCATGTGCTGGTGTTAAATCACCAAGGTTGCTGGATAACTGTTGTTCTACATTGGCCAGCAGAGCAGGGTCACTGTTGAAATGAGTTGTGGCATACAGATCTGTGGAGGAAACAGGCTGGGAGATAATCCTGCCCTTCAATGCCTTCATATTTCACTTTCATCAATACCTAGCCTGGAGTCCAAGTAATAACTACTCCCTAGTACATACCCTCAACTCTATGGATTCTTTCTTTCTCTCTCTTCCTCTGCTTGATAAATCCAGCTGCCCACATGCTTGAGGAATTGCTCCACATGGCAGCAGAGGAACATGGCTAGAGAACAATGTGCATCTGTTTTTGACCTTCCACACTTTAATTCATGGCTAATATCTTATTTGGTCCCTTACTACTACCCAGAAATCCTCATATTACTTGGGTCAACTTACTCTTTTATTCTCTTAGAGGATTATTTCATGTCTCTTTTCTCCTCAAACTCTGACACCATCTCTTTCCCTCTTTTTTCTCAGGTGCTGACCTCTCTTATTTCATTGGGAAAACAGAGTCAATCAGAGAAAATGTCCACTGTTAAATCTACCAACTCATTTGTATTTGTATCCATAAATTCTATACCTCCTTGTTACCACAGATGAGCTATTTATGCCTCACATAAGGCTAACTCCTCCACGGGTGGACCAGCTTCCATTTCTTCTTGACTACCTCTTGCTCTCCTGCATCATCAGTTCTCCCTCTGCTGATCACTCCCACCAGGCTCTCAGGACCCCATCCCCCCTCAAGCTACAGTTCTATTTCTCTGTTACTCTTTACTGCAAAACCCCTCAAAGGGGTTGGCTGTATATATTTGAAGGCCTGTGTAACTTTATTGCCTCACTTTCAAGTTTTTCTTGAACTCACCCCAATGATGCTTTTATTTCCAAGCATCCCCTGAAATTGTTTGCTAATGTCTTCTGTGTTGCCAAATATAATCACTCCTCAGTCCAGCTCACTCCCTTGATCATAGGCATCTCTGACTCAGCACTGTGACGCCATCCTTTCTCAAACATACTCTACACTTGGCTTCCAGGGTAGCACTTCCTCTTGGCTTTTCTCCTCCTGCCTTATTAGCTGCTTCTTTCTCACTCTCCATGATGATTTCTCTTTGTCTATTCAACTTCTAACTGTTGGGGGGCTTAGGGTCAGTCCTTGGATCTCTTTTCTATCTATACTCACTCCTTAGGTGAGATCTCATTCAGTCTCAGTTTTGTTTTTGCAGTACTGGGGATTGAACCAAGGGCTCGTGCATGTTAAGCAGGCTACATCCCCAGCCTTTTTATTTATTTTTAAATTTTGAAACAGTCTCACTAAGTTGCCCAGGCTGGCCTTGAACTTGTGATCCTCCCACTTCAGCTTCCCAAGCAGCTGGGATTATAGGTGTATGCCACTGTCCTCAGCCAGCCTCACAGTTTTAGTATATGTGCTGCTGAAGCGAGCACAAGCCTCACAGTTTTAATGCCATCCATACACTTATAATTCCCACATTTTATTTCTAGCCACATCTTCTTCCCTGAACTCTGGACTAATATGTCCAATTACCAAGTCAGCAACTCTGGAAAGTTTTAATAGGTACTTCAAATTTGAGATGTTCAAAACAAAACTTCATAAATAAATGTCATAAACTGAATAAATATTTATCTTAAAACTTGTTTCTAACTTTCCCACTCTTTTCCATCTTAGTAAATAACTCCATTCTTAAAATTATTAAAAAACTTAAGAGGGCTGGGGATTTATCTCAGTTGTGCCACTGTCTGCCTCAAAAGCATAAGGTCCTGAGTTCAATCCCTGGTACCAAAAACAACAACAACAACAAAAACCCAAAAACTTAGAATCACTTTCTTTCTCTCATACTCCATCCTTGGTCCATAAGCAAATCATAGGTTATTAGCATCAGAACATATTCAAAATCTGACTACTTCTCATCACCTCCACAGCTCCACAGTTCTCTCTAGCCCAAGCCATTATCAATGCTTAACTGGATTCTAACCTCTTGAATGATTTTTTTTTGTTGTTTTTTTGTTTTTTTTGTTCTGGGGATTGAACTTGGGACCTTGCACTTGCAAGGTAGGCGGTGGAACCACTGAGCTAAATGCCCAGCTTGAATGATTTTTTAAAACGTTCTCTTGTCCCCTTGACAGTCTACTCTCATCCAGCATCCGGAGTAATTTGCTTTTTGTGGGGTTTTTTTGGTACCAGAGATCCAACTTGGGTCCTTGTGCTTGCGAGGCAGGCTGAGGAACCACTGAGCTAAATCTCCAGGCCTAGGTCTCCACTTTTATGATGCCTCGTCAGAGAAGCCTTTCCTGACCACTCAGTCTAACATATTCCCTGATCTATTCCTTCTATACTTGCAGCACTTATCATAACTTGACATATGTTTACATGTTGTTTATTATCTGTCTTATTAGAATGTAAGCTCCATGAAATTAGGGACTTTTGTTTTTTTATTTTTTTTGGTACCGGGGATCGAACTCAGGTCCTTGCGTTTGCACAGCAGGCGGAAAAACCACTGAGCTAAATCCCTGGCCCAAAATTAGGGACTTTAAAAAAATTACAATAAAATAGGGCTGGGGATTTGAACCCGAGTTCAATCCCCAGCCCCCCCCCCAAATTACAATAAAATATATATGGAACGTTGCTACCTTATTTGCAGAGCTAGAATAGTATCTGGCACATAGTAGGTATTCAGTAGTTTTATTGAAATGATAAATCACTGGAGAGCAGTCTCTACCACTTACACTGAAACTAGCTTCTTCTGAAAATAATTCAGAATAGTAGTGACTGTGGTCACAGAAGACCAGAAATATGTCCTAGGATGCTACTTAACTAAATATGTAGCTGTGAAGCTCACATTTTTACAATTTTTCTCTAATATATCTGTCATATTAAACTCATACCCTGTACATTTCTGAAAGTTCCATGGGCCACTGGTGACCCTGAAATAGAATTTAAGAAATGATAAAGCAATTTAAGAAATGTTAATTCCAGGGGTAAACCATTTTCTGGTCCTCCTTCTGTCTGTCTTAGATAGAAGCTATCTTTCTCTCAATAAATTTTTCCTACTCTTAACAACAACAAAAAAAGAAATGTTAATTCCAAAATTTCCAGTTATGCTTTCTATCTACATGCCTGTAAAAAAGACCTGTAAACTAACAAGAAGTTATTACCTGAACTAAGTTTCAAAAGTCTTCCAGTACTGGAGTCAGAGTTTGACAGAGAAGTCAATAAATCTCCACAGGAATGGGATGTAGTAGCCTTTATGTCATTTAAAGGCTTTGTGCTATATTCTTGGTAGTTCTTGTTTCTCTGAGGCCTTTTACCAAGATTTCCATGCAGGGATAGAATTTGAGAATTATGACTATTATAATTTTCCAAACTGATGCCAGAAGGTAACTGATAGGGATGGATCTGGTTGGAATCACCTACATCCAGGCATTTACCCAATGAGGCATCATGGGTAAGATGATAAGTATCGAGCTTTGGTATCAAGTCCTTTTCTGGAGAAGAACCTGAAGACTTATTATCCAAAAAAGATACTCGGTACCCATCTCTCGTCATCTTCTCTGGGGATCGGACTGTGGACTGACGAGGCGAGTAGTGTTTGAATTCTGCTCACAATCAATGGAAAAGAACAAAACGTAATGAGAATTCTTCTTAGTCCAGTTGGGGTACCTCTGTTCACTGAACTAGAGAAGGTTCTTAGGAAGAAGTGGTTAATAATTTTCGTAAATGGTAGCTTAAAGTGATATAGGGACTTCCATATGGATGACAAAAATGACAAAACTTGGGATACTTGTGTAAACAGTAAAAGAATCTGTAACATTCTGAACACAAATTTTGTATCAACTGAATCCCCTAAAAATTTCATCCTAAAACTAAAGAATGAGTTTCCTAGATAATAGTTTCATATCAAAAACATAGTGTCCCTCCACATGATAGTAGTTGTGCTTTTATGTATTTAATCTATAGACAATTGTTGGACTATGATTTCATAGATACTTTGCAATAAAGTTAAACCCATTACCACTTCCATACTCCACCCTGGGGCTCTGGGTCCACTCATCAGGAACCGCTACCCTAAGACAATGAAATGATAGGAAATATAAACCCTACAAAAATCCGCAGCCTAGGCCTCCATCCCAGGCTCCTAGGGCAGTGAAGCTCAGCCGGTCCCAGCACCCAGAAGGAAGCTCCCCCGCTGCCATCCCAAGCTCCTAGGGCAGAGAAGGTGAGTCGCGTGGGTTCCAGAAGCACCCCCCCACCCGTGGAAATGAGAAGACACATAAACAAGCCTCAAAAACAGACTTCTGGATCACCTACAGCAACCCCAAAGGGAAACGAGAT